AAAGGACTGCTCTTGGTATTGTGCACATGTCTCGTGTATACAAAGAGGAGCTAATGAATCCCTGCTGAATCAGTTACTTGTGTGTGCTTTCTGGATTTGACTCACACAGAGAGAGAGAAAGAGAAAGAGAAAGAGAAAGAGAAAGAAAGGAAGGAAGAAAGAAAGAAAGAAAAAAAGAAAGAAAGAAAGAAAGAAAGAAAGAAAAGAAAAAAAGAAAGAAAAAGTGAGAGAGAGATGAAAAAAAGGAAAAAGGGACAGAGAGACAAAAGGAAGGAGAGAGAGAGAGAGAGAGAAAGAGAAAGAGAAAGAGAAAGAAAGGAAGGAAGAAAGAAAGAAAGAAAAAAAGAAAAAAGAAAGAAAAAGTGAGAGAAAGAAGAAAAAAAGGAAAAAGGGACAGAGAGACAAAAGGAAGGAGAGAGAGAGAGAGAGAGAGAGAGAAAGAGAGAGAGAGAGAGAGAGAGAAAACACATGGCTGGCAAGCCACTCCCACCAGGTCACATGGCCGACAAGCCACTCCCACAAAGGAGGCCACCCCCACAGAGTAGGTTTGAAAAAATTTTGAAACCCACCACTGGACAAATCATTTTCTATCCCACACCCCATCCAGAGTCTATGCACTGGACAATTGCTTTGTAACTTCAAATGGCAACTTTTATGCTAGGTGATTCCAAGGGAAGATAATTTATTTAAGCAATAGCAAAAACAAAGACAAGTCTAGAAAATCTCCTTTTTAAAAAAAAAAATGTTTGTGGAGAAATTCTGAAATTAATCAAAAGGACTTTGTCACATAATCTATGAGCGACATAACTAAAGAGTGGCTTTGTCAGACCTGGAAGCCATCTTTTACATTTGGGCCTACAGGCCTGCCACATTTTCTACTGTGGGATTATACGGAGTACAGGTGATATATATGTAGTCAAAATAACATTCTTTTCTCAGAGAGCCAAGGCCACCTTGGCAGGCAGCTGAGATGAGATGACTGTGAGGAATCTCCAGTTTTTATGGTGCCTGATTGGATTATGTGGGTGCTGGGCAGGGACTTGAACTTTCTTTTGGATGGGGAAAACCAGGAAGCTTTCAGATTTGGGTTTTCCCAGATGTGCCAATATGACATCGCTAATAAAATGGAACTTTGAGGAAACTCAACCCTCGGAGTCTTCTTTCGTTGGGGGGTGTTACTGGGTGTGACAGGTTTTAGGGCTGAAGCCAAATTGTAATCCTTCTCATTTCTGCCAACCTCAAAGCACTGTTGTGAAGGGTTGCGTCTAAGCTGCCAAAGTCACCATTCCTCCGTTCCATTTTCAAACATAGCTTCTTTACTAAAGGCAATTGTGCATTCAAAGATACGCTAGACAAATTTTAAAAAGAGAACTGATTGCAACGCAATTCCAACCTCATTCGATTTTTTGCATTTATACATGATGTTAAGTCTGGATATCCTTCTTTTTTTTTAATGGTCTATTGAACAAGCCATCATGATCTACTTTGCGTATAATAATCATAATGAGTAGAATTATATATTATTCCAAGCCAAATGGAAACTGGCTTAGCATGATGTGTGTATTAGGCCAATGTGCTAAATTTAATGTTGGATTTGCTGAACAGATAAGGTAGCTGGAGGCATTTCATAATGCTTGGCAAGAGGGAAAGGCCCCTGGCTTTTGACTTTTTGGTGAGCATCTGACATTAAATCAGTTGGACGTTCTGAGCACATTTTTTTTCCTGCAAGCATTTAATAGTTGTTGGGTATTGTTGTCCAGAAAACTGTACGGATATATCCCATGCTGGGGGTGGAAATGGGGGTGGGGGTTGGGATGGTTTAGTTTAGTTTAGTTTATTTATTTATATGTCGCCCTTTTCCCTGGGGGGACTCAGGGCGGATTACAATTCGAAAGGAGGGGAAAACAAACAGATTAACACATAAGANATATGCTGACTCTGTAAACCGCTTAGAGAGGGCTGAAAGCTCTATTAAGCGGTATATAAGTCTAACTGCTGTTGCTATCAGATGATATTCAGATGTATCTCTGAATTAGGAGATTACATATAAACTGGTCATTAACAAACTTGTCCTCCTTGGAGCCCTCTAACTTGGTGGTCATTTCTATCCAATAGCAGGGAGTTCCATAAGTCCATTAAGCAGCATATACAGTAAAAGTTTATTTCCATTGGTCCTGAACCTTTTTGCCAATCATAGTGATGCTCATAATATTACAATGAAATAAAATGAAATTAGACCAATACACCAAACTTTTAAAAATGATATCATCCCATCTCCCATTAGTCGTGAACTTTCTGGCCAGCCTCAAGTAACTAATCAAGGCATGGGCCTGCGGTTGAGGGATAATAGTAGTGATAAATATATTATTTTATATAATAAAATATAAGAGATATTTAGGGAAAGAAATTTATAGGATTGTGACTACATAAAATATTTCATGGTCCTAGTTTGTTGCTTTTAAGCTTTGCTTTATGTCATATGCACACAATGTGATCAGACCTCTGAATTTAATATTTTCAACTTTCTTAAATGTTATATGTGTATCTGGTGTGTGTGCATTATATGTAGATTATAAAGATTATTGTCATAATCTTTATATCCTTTATAAAGGATGTCTGCACGCACACATGTATAAAAATCCAAAAATCTGGAGAAGAGGAGGAGTAGCTTAAACAAATGTTTAATATTGGTTGATAATGACTAATTGATAAATATATAGATGCTATTTATTAATAATAATGCCAATTATCATGCTAATCCTGGCTTTAGTTATTTATTATCAGAAAAATACATCCTTCGTAGAGAAAATTACTCTAATGGTCTAATAACACAGAGAGCCACAAAAAAAACAACAACCACTTTTTTGACATGGTGATTTGAAAACATATCTTCCCTGATAGCACAAACTTCCCATGCTGGAATAACAAAATTCAGCTGTCACTGTTTGTATAGCTTTGTATTTTACACCATATAATGTGGAAAATGTTTTCATTGCCTCCATTCCCACACAGAGTCACTGAAGCTAGCCCATCAATAAGGAAGAGTTCAGTGATACAGACCAGATGGTATATTAGATTTCATTCCAGGCTAGGAAAAACCTGCCCAGTATTATAAACAGGATTCACCAGGTAGCACCTAAGCCCAACCTATTTTAAGACAAATGCCAAAGCATCTATGAGTCCCATTTTGCTGATGGTTAAATAGAGACCCCAAGATGTGGAATAATCCACACGAATTTCAGTGGCTAATTCCTGGGAATTAAGGCTTGGCTGCAGAGTCAGAGACAGGCGTTAAAAAGATGTTCCCACATCAACCGCTGACAGTGACTAGAAGTCAGGTGGAAAGTAAATTTTAAAATAAATATTGATTTTTGCTCTGTCCCTTTTGACTGTTTCCATTTGCCAGAATTTAGGATATTATGATCTGAGCATGTGCATCATCATCATCATCATCATCATCATCATCATCATNATGAATTAGATAGCAATATAAGTATAAACATGATTATGAATACATGAAATGAATACGAATAGAAGGGAATATTAGGACAGGGACATTAGGCACACTGGTGCGCTTATGCATACCCCTTAAAGACCTCTTAGGAATGCGGTGAGGTCGACAGTAGACAGTCTAAGGTTAAAGTTTTGGGGGTGTGAGGAAGAAGCCACAGAGTCAGGTAGTGCATTCCAGGCATTGACCACTCTGTTGCTGAAGTCGTACTATCTGCAGTCGAGTTTGGAGCGGTTTACCATAAGTTTGTATCTATTGTGGAGTTGTGCGTTGTGGTTGAAGCTGAAGTATTCATTGACAGGTAGGACATTGCAGCAGATAACTTAAGTTGCCATGTGTGAATAGGCAGCAATGTAAATTTTCTTAATAAATAAATATTTATATCTGTAATCAATCCCAATTTTGCAGTTTCTCATGCCACTTGCCATCCAAAGCCTTATGATCAATTTTAGGATAATCAAAGATAGACTGGCCATAACCTTCTAAGCATCTTTGCAGTTTTCGCTCTCCAGCCATATTTGGTCCCCAGCTGAGCTGCTCAACCCCCTTGCAGGCCTTTCAATGGGACCCATTGAGCAGAAAGCGGCATACACCAAAACAACACAGGCCACAATCCTGGGCCAGTCTTCACAAAGCTGCACAGCTGTGTGTTACACATTCCTTTATAGCACCCACACATTACAATGGCAGTGGTTATTGTTTCTTTTGGGGGTATACAACAAGCAACTGTATCCAGAGCCTGTGATGTAATGAGCATAAATGTTCTGCCAAGATGCTCTGGAATTAGAGTTCACACTGTGAACATTGTGTCAGATAGTGAAAGAATGAAAAACAATATGAAATTAAGATAACAAATTACAGTGAGTGACAGAATACACATTTTGTTCTAAATCTGCTTGACTCCCAAGCCAGTTTGCTACTAACACATTCAGTGCCAAAGTGGTGGTGTTTTGAACTAACAAATATCTAGAGCCACTGCTGGAATGGAGATCCCAACGCGCGTTGAAATCAATGGGATCAGATTCAGCAAGGCTGAAGATCGGTAACTACGTAACTCTTGTTTGCAGTTCAAATTGAATGTGTGAAGATCCAACCTGGGTCAGTCAATAGGACCAGAGCTTTACATGTATGTAACTGTGTGAAACTCCAGTGACAGGTTCAGAGCCCATTCTCAGGATAATAACCCATGTACAAGCAAATCTCTGTTACCATCTATTGATGTCAAATCAATACCATCAATTTGAAGGGAACTCTCTCACACATGAGTCTTTTATTTCCCCAAGGTAATTGGAAGATACATTTCCTTTCTCCCCTGGAAAAGTCATGCATATACTTTGGTTCTCGTGATCCTAATGACCTGAGTATAACCATCAACTACTAGGCAAGAAATATGGGCAGCTCTCAAAGAATAGGGCTAGCCTTAAATTATCTACTTTATTTTTTCTCTTGTTTTGTACCTACCCAGTTATAATCTCCAAGAAAGTATTCAGGTGGCTACTAACTAGAGAACCATACAGTATTTTACTAACCATATTCTGGGATCCCATCCTAAGTAGTTAAATTTAGGTCACATGTTATGAGAACCTAGAAAAATGGGTTCATTAATTTAACCATGGGTTAGGCATATTGTGGGAATAGTACTTTAATCACTAGGTAAAGGTAAAGGTTCCCCTCGCACATATATGCTAGTCATTCCCAATTCTAGGGGTGGTGCTCATCTCTGTTTCAAAGCCGAAGAGCCAGCGCTGTCTGAAGATGTCTACCTGGTCATGTGACCAGCATGACTCAATGCCAAAGGCACATGGAACGCTGTTACCTTCCCACCAAAGGTGGTTCCTATTTTTATACTTGCATTTTTAAAGTGCTTTTAAACTGCTAGTTTGGCAGAAGCTGGGACAAGTAGTGGGAGCTCAATCCATTACGCGGCACTAGGGATTCGAACCGCTGAACTGCTGACTTTTCTGATCAACAAGCACAGTGTCTTAGTCACTGAGCCACCCTTTAATCGCTAGACCAAGCTATATTAATATTCGTTTTTAACAGGAGGAAGGCATGTATTCCCCAATCAGTGATATCTGTGTGGTCAAAGCCCCACCTCTATTCTACGCACATCAATGTCGTGCTCTCGTAAAAGAAGCAGGACTTTACAAAGTTACATCTGCCATCTTGTTTTTTTTTATACAACCCCCCCCCCAAAGGCCTATGTCCTCATTTATGTTAGAAGCCACAATCGCACCATAAATTGCACACAACATCCTGAATTGCTAGGATGACTGGCTTAGAACAGTTTGAAAGGGAAGATATCAACAGGCCAAAATGAGAAGAATATAAACTCGTTAATTTCAACATTTATTTCAGTATATTGTACAGTATTTTGCTTCAGAACAAAAGACATCGTTATCATCAGTATTCATAGGACATGACTTGAAGTGGCATCGGATTACAGTACAAAAATTTAGGTAATAGTTCAATCGTTTATGTCAGAATACAAATTAATTGAAATAAAAGTTTTTAAAAAATAAAAGTTGGCAGAAAGGAGACTGAAGAAAACACATGTAGGATTGGTCCCATTGCATATATATATAAGGAGATATATACAATTTTTTTGTTTTGCTTATTTATCTTGCAATTAGATATGGGTCTCTTTAATTTCCTTCATACTGATGTATGTAGACAAAAAAAAAAAAAAACCACACCAGTGTTACTGAAATGGTCATCTTCCTTATAGTGCTTGTTCTGTTTTCAGCCTGAGAAAAACAAAAAGATATCCCTTAATCTTTGGGGAAAGAAAACATTGTTGTAGTTGGAACATAGGGGCGTCTTGTCTTTCGCCTATCTTGCTAAGCACTGCCAGATAAGATGGCCTTGAGTGAGATAAAAGGAATGGGTAACTCATTCTGCAAAATCAGTTCCAGGCAATTCAGATACATATTTGTTAATCCTGTTCCTAGTAGGAGGGAGAGAGGGAGGAAAAAGAAAAAGAGGCTTAATATTTCAACAGAATTAGGAATGAAAAAGCCTGACCAAAGAAGACTGTGTCTGCACCTAGCTTGATCTTTATTTGCTATTTCTATTTGGAGAAATGGGGTGTTTAACGCATTACAAACACCGGGTTCTTTCTTTCTATCTTCTACAACCGATGCAGCTTAGAAGATGGAAGGTGGAAGTAGATGGAAGACCAAAAATTGAATGTAAACCCTTCCACCTGTGCCCAAAAAAAAAAAAATGTTTCTCCGGGGCTTGGGGGGTTTCAGGAGCTCTTATACGTGGGCACTCTTTGCGTGGGTGGGAGAGCTCGATCCAGAAGCATAGTAGAAGCGGTTCTCTCCAAACGTTTGAGCGTCACCTGAACAACAAGCAATGATGCATCCACCGAAGAGGCAAAGAGCCGATCCAATCCAGCCGGTGTAGAGGGAATATCCGAAGCTCATAATCATGGTTTCACGGTGAGCACTCACAGGGAACCAAATGGTAGCCACGATGGCACACAGAGCTGGGGAAACATTTTGGGGAGGGAAAAAAATCACTGCAGCCCATCACAGAGTCTAGAATTCTACAGCAATTGACAAATCCTAGATTTCAGGAATCATCTAATCCCAAGCCCCTTGCTTGGTATAGGATCCACTAAAGCAGTGGTTCCCAAACTTGGGAACTTTAAGACTTGTGGACTTCAACTCCCAGAATTCTCCAGCCAGCAGAGCTCTGCTGGCTGGAGAATTCTGGGAGTTGAAGTCCACAAGTCTTA